ACCTGAATGATTAGGCTCTGCTCGGTCCATAGAATTCAGAACTGATTTGGCTGATTTGGCCTGAGACAGCATTTCAAAAGAAAAAGAAAATTGGAGACTGGCTGAGCATAGAGTAGAGCTCTCTTTTCCTACATCTGTTACAGCCGGGGGAGTAGAAAATATGCTAGAAGGTGTTAAGTATACACCATCTTCTTTGCCCTAAATGCCCGCTATCCCAAAGGCTCTGTTCATGCCACTGCCCCTTTCTCTCTGATTGCTTCTGCACTCTCACCTGCCTCTCTGTGTCCTTCCCTGTCTTGTACATGTAGTGCACATACCACAGGCTGTCTCTACCCATGCAGCCAAGGAGCAGTTTTCTACAGCAGTGCTCAAGGCAGCCACTAAATCAATCCCACATGGTCATTGTGGGAACTATATACCCAATATGGATAAGGAATGTAAAAAGTTTTTATGCTTATTCCAAAGCTTTGCCAAGCCCCTTGCAGATAAGCGTAATAAGTGACGCAGGCCACAGTGGGAGGTAACCATGTCTAACATGAATGTGGCAAGATCCAGCTGGAAAGTGTGGACACCGCTTTGGAAATATGATATTGCTCAACAACCCACCAGCACAGTCCACCATGTCCATCCTCACAAAATACCTGCACAGGCACTAGCACAGCCAAGGCTGACAGGGCAAGCCTTTGGATAAAGCAATAAGCAAAGAACAGAATTTCTGGCCATCGCCAGCCAGGTATTTTTGAGGCTTTCTCATAGAGGAAGTAAGAAGAGCCCTTAAGTGCATGGAAACCGGGAGGGACCGTGTCCTGGCAATGCTCAAACACTTACACAAACTCCTTCCTGTCCTTGCAGGACCAGGACATTGGCAGCTTCCTCATCCCTTGGCCCTACCTGGGGCAAGTTAGAGCGGGGATTGATGTTTTGGGCACCACTGTGCCCGGCAGATGCGTGGGAAGGTGATTCCAGGAGTTTTTAACAATAGATTCAACAAACGTTTCTGTGATGATTGAAAGGGGCATGATCCTGCCTTGAGCAGGTGATGGACTAGATGCCCTCCTCAGGGCCCACCCAGCATGACTTTTCTACGATTATTATTATTCCATGACTTAGAGGAAAAGAGCATTAAAAAGTCTCTCTATATTTATGCCCTGTATTGTTACAAAAAATCAAAATACAAAGATCTGATGGAAAGCCAAAGTGATAACTGCTCCCAAACCAGGGAAGGACGACTCACTGCCAGAAAACTCTTGACCTATAGCCTCCTAAGCTGCGTTTACAAGCTCCTGGAATTGCCGATCCTACAGAGAATCCCACTCACAGCAGAAGCAAGCCTGATAGATGGCCAGGCTTTGGAACAACTGGAAACATCTGTGCTCACATGTCATCGCTCACAACTTACAAAGAGAATTGCCGTCAACTTAATGGAAGGGCTGGGGCTGAATTTATGAGCCTATAAGAACACTGTGTACCTAGCAAAGACATCTAATGTATATATATAGCTCCCCTGGGTAGTCATTACAGCAAAGATGCTGCTTCATGATACAAATGTCTGGGCAGAGCTGGGAAATACACTAAGGCAGTGAAGACTGCAAAGGAACGGGCTCCCTCGGGGTTCAACGTTTGCCCTTGCTCTAAGCACATCTGCCTTTTAGCCCGATAACCTAGTGATTCAGGCCCTTGCCCAGGGAACAGGAGACCCAGAGGCTAGGCCCTGCCCACCTGGAAGAGGTATGAACCTGCATCTTCTGTTTCCCAGCAAAGTGCTAGCCAGTGCCCTGGCCCCTGCCCAGCCCTCTGTTTGCTGGTGGCCCAACATGCAGAAGTGCCAGGTGCAAGAGGGACCCCAACCCCTGTTACTGGAGGTGGGGCCAGGGAGTATTACAGGGCTGCAGCCTGGTGCGGGAAGTTGGGTCAAAGCCAGTGACAGGGGAGTAAGCAGCCAGGGGAAGATAGGGGCCGCAGGGAGCAAGTTGCATGGTGATGGTCAGCAAAGGGCAGAGCTCTGGCCAGACAGTAAAGTAGCGGCTGCAGTGCAGCTCAAGAGACTGTGGCCCATCAGGGAAAGATCAGGACAGGAAGCCTGCTGATGAGTGCAGGAGGAATCCCTGTGCCTCGTTAGGCAGGGGGCAGGCCAGTGGCTGGAAGGGGCAGAGTCGGACAGGGGATTTAAACAGGGCGATGGGCTGAAAAGGGAGGCTGGCCCAGGCTGTGGTAGCAGAAGGTGCTCAAGAGAAGGAGCTCATCAGGAGAGCAAGTCTCCGGTCACAGTACGTTTTCATGGATGCTTATAACTGAGCCACAAGGCATGGGAGCACGAAGGAGCAGAAGGAGGTGAACTGCATGCGGCCCACGGCAGAGCGCAGAGAAATAGAGATCTCCTCACTGGGAGATGCCTCCGGTTAGGGATGGCCCTGCCTCAGGCAGGCGGTTGGATGACATGACCTCTGGAGCTCTACTTTTCTATGAACTGAGTTTTAAGCCCCATATTTGGGGTATTGATAGAGTCAAGGGGTTTTGGAGGGAGACTATGCCTTGTGGACAGGTGTGTATATTGTAACGGGTGTGCAATATGTTTCTATGGTGGGTTAAGGAGGCAATGATCAGTGACCAGAAGGGGTGTGTGAGTATGTGTGTGTATATATGTCTTTATATTATATATATACAGAGAGAGAGAGAGAGAGAGCTATATACAATTAATATAAAGACATATATTTGAAAAAAAAATTTAAAAACCTGGCAGGGGAAATACCATGATCATCATGGTGGCTTTTCTACTGGCAGGGGAAAACCATGGACATGGCAGGGGGTAGTACCCTGACCAAGCTAAATGCATAGTTAGTCTTCCACTTTCACTTCCAGTGGGAAGATCTCGGCTATACGCCGACTTTATGTAAATGGGAAACTCCTCCCCAGCTTGCTCCTGAAGCCATATAGCCGAGGGCAAGTGAAACTCAGGGGCATCCAAACCTCAAGTCCGGACTTGGGCCTGCACCTAGGATGCCCCCAAAGGATTTGGAAATATGTGAAGCCCTAGGCGGGGGTGGTGGATCCTTGCTGGTTGGTAGTAGGACCACGTATGATTCTTGAATGACTCACACAGATTTGGTATTGATTTGGCTGATTTGACTTGGGACGTGAAAAGCATTCCTTAAAAAAAAAAATCCACAAAACAAGGCTTCTGGACAGGCGGCCTGGCTGTGTGAATCCCAACAGGTGCGGTAGGTGAGTTGGGAGGGTAGGCCAGGTGCCAGATAGATGGGCAGGACACCAGGGGACTACACACTGCCTGAGGACTCCCTTCCCCAAGGCTTTGCTACACCCTTTAGTCACATAAAGTAAAATAAAAAATTATAGTTTCATAGATGTAGGGTCAGAAGGGACCTAAGTAGATCATCAAGTCCAACCCCCTGCCCTGGGCAGGAGAGAATACTGGGCTCATATGACCCCAGCTAGGTAATCGTCAAGCTTCCTCTTAAAGACCCCCAGGGTAGGAGCCAGCACCACTTCCCTTGGAAGTTAGTTCTAGATCCTAGCCGCCCTGACTGCATCAGGTTTAGCCCATGTAAGAGCAGAAGGCCTCTTGGGGGGCTGGGGGAGTCCTGGTGATGGGGTGCCCCAGGGGAACAGAAGCTGGATACCTGCTCTCAGCAGCAGCAGATGGAGCTGGTGGCACTGGAGAGGAAGAGATCCCTCCTCAGACTGCTGGCAGGTTGTAGCCACCCCTGATAGCATCCTCACTATGTCATGGAGCAAGGTGGACACTACGGAGGTGGTCTGGACTATTCTCTGCTGCAGGGCCTGTCTGGCCCCATGGCATCAGGCACCTCTGAGAGCACAGGGCCTAGGTCCCTGCTGTCCCAGAGCTGAGCTGCCACCTCCTGCCCCATCTCTTTATTCAGAGCAGTTATTCACCCCACTCCTCGCTATGCACCTCATTCCCAGAGATGTGTGGTTATGCAGAAGAGGCCTGGGACACCAGAGATTGTCATCCCAGCTTGGAGGGCTTGGGGGAGTCCTTGGCCACAGACTGGAGCACCTGAAAGGTGCGGAGGACTTTGAGTCCATGCAGTGAGGCCAGCTGCCATGCCTGGGGTTGAGGACCCTGAAGCAGGGTGAGGGCCCTGGGGACTTGCCCTCCCAGGTGCCGATGGTGCAGGACAGGTGCCGCTCCCCCCAGGGCCTCACCTGCCTTTGTCACAGTGCCAGCGGAGGAGGCTGCAAGTGGGAGAGCCCAGCACCTCCATGGCTGGCCCCGGGGAACCAGGCCACAATATGGGTGAACTCTAAGTGGGTACAGCTGCCCCATCTTGTTCATGGCATAGGAGTGGTGCCTGCTGACAAACATACAGCCATCCTGTAGAGGCCACTTGATGGTAATGTCCGTCCCATCCATGGCACCCAGGACATGGAAGATGTCAGCAATTTGCAGGCACTCCCATGCGGTCTGACTCCAGGTGCCGCGACCTACAGGGATGGTGATGAAGTTGGGTGTGGGGTCTGAGGACAGCCAAGAGATGGTGCAGGACCCTAGAGGGTCAGAAGTGGCTTGTGCCCATGGTTGGGGCAGTGGACCCCTGAAAGGACCCCGAGGCCAATATGGGCGGGTTTGGGAATGTGCAGGTCTGCCTGCCCCAGCAACCAGCTGGGCTTCTGCATTTGCAATAGTTCATGCCTATAAGGGCAATACAGCCCACACACACGGAGGAACAAATTGACCTCTGTTAGCCACAGCATTCATAGGAGCTGGTCCCTTTACACAGACTAGGCTCAAGGCTGCTCAGTGGCTTCCCTGCAGCTGCCCTGTGCTGAGAACACCATTCCCCTGCCTCCCGGGCCCTGTCTTGGGCACACCGCACATCCTTAAAGAGCCCACAAATGCTGTCCCATTCAGCCAGTTGCTTTTGAATGTGCAGCAGAACCCTGCCCAGCAGCACAGGGAGCGCACGCCGGGGGCTGCCCTCTTGAAAATGCAAACAAACACTCGGCACGGAGCTGTTTTTACACTTTGATTTTAATACATAATTACACAGGTTTTGCATGGATCTCACCGGTGTACTTGGATTGTCTTAAATTAGCTATTTACAACATGAACAGCTACTTCTGACGAGGTTTTTGTTTTACAGGTTGCAGTTACCGAAGACATATCTGTACGTAATTCGCTGTAGAGAAGAGTGGGGGTGGGCACAGGCGTGTGCAGCTGTGTGAGTACATGTAGTCCTTGTGCAGCTCTACTGCGCAGCGACTGGGGTAGATCCCAAAGCCCTGAGGAAATCCCAGAGCAGTTTCTGGATAGCTTCAGGCAATATTTTCCAATTCTTAGATGCCCTCCTCTTTTGAAAGTGTTTTGGGAAGCGGGGAGTCTTGGGCAGCATGCCCTTCCCTCACTTATCATCTGCCTCTTGGGGCCTGTGTTTACCAACAAGCTCAGACTTGCAAGGACTCAGTGTCCATGACCGGGTGCCAGTTACTTAAATTGGGGCCAGATCAACAGCAGCACTCAGGACCCAGTGTACCCTCAAAATGCCAAGCTCTTCCGGTAGCATGGCCCTGTAGCCCTTTGGGCCTCATCTTTGCTACAGAATAGGTCCTCTGGCTCCACATAGCTGATCCCAAGCAAACTCCTTGTGAAGCCAAGGAGCAGGCAGAGGGAGGTGAGGACTGCAGGTGAGCCTGTGACCTGCCAACTCATGTGAAACCACCGAATGCCTTGTCTCCCAGGATTGCCAGTCTCCTGCTTTGGCTTGCTTGAGTAATGGGTACGTCTGCTGGTGGCAGTGCCCTGGAGCACACTTGGCAGAAGGATATTCAGAATATGCACTGCCAGGAGATGTTGAGAGAAGCCAGTGAAGGCAAATGGGGGGGAAAGCAGTTCAGCAAAAATGTCTCCAGTTGTGAGATGCAGGGGAGCAAGGACCGCACAGGAAATGTGTGTGATGGCAGTGGCTGCTGGGAGGCAGAAGGATCCCGCAGGCCCTGAATAATGCTGCTTTGACTGCAAATAAGTCCATGCCAGGATGCTGACCTCTCATCCCAGTCGCTGGGGAAGTCATCCCGAAGGTGAAGGAAGGAGCCAGCCTCCCTCTGAGCTGTGCAGGAAGCAGGGAGGACGCGGTAATGCATGCCCCGGGAGCCTTCTGCTGCTTCCTCGACAAGGACAACGAGGGGCTGCATCTCCTGGGGACACAGGTCCCCCTGCTCCCGTGCTGCAGCTGGGTCCTAGACGGGGACTGGCTCTGCCTCGCAGGCATCTGCCAGTGATGCTATTCTGTGCTTCCCTGCGGACAGAAAGAGCCAGCATCATTCCACTTGCTCCCTGCATTGGCAGAGCCATTTCTCCCTCCATGGGCAGGAGGGCTTAGTGCCAATGGACAAGCACTGGCCTTGGCAGATCCTGGTGATCGGACGTTCGGTGTTGGGGGAGAACAGCCACCCACAGGTGCACAGATGGAGATTTTGCTAGACAGCAAGGGTGACATCCTGTTCCCATCCTGTTCATCTATGTATCTGGATGTCTACATGGGATTTGGGTTGTCTAAGTGCCCAGGCAGCTACTTAAGCACCAGCTGATGCTTTGTTCCCAGCCACTAGCCTGTACACGTAGATGACCATGCCTGACCACACAGTTGCACAATCTGGGCAGCAGCGGGGGCACAGACACAGGCCCTTTGTGGGTGCTTAGTAACCTCAGACACCAAGAAAGAGAATCATCCAAAGGCCATAACTACTGGACTTAGCCTCAGGAAGGCAAAAAGGCTGTGTGTCCCCTTACCCGGGTAGCTGAGTGACCAGAGCATTTACCTGGGGAGCTGGAGACCCTGAATTCTACCCCCCTTTCCAAGAAGGGGTTTGAACTGAGCTGTCTCAGGCTTCCCAGCACACCACAGCCCACACCAGCCATTGCTCGGCCTCCTCCCCAGCACCCCTTTTGGAGCTGAGCCACTAACAGCCATTGGGAAAGGCAGGGGGGACAATGCAAGGATAATCTCGTGCCTCCCTGGGAAGAAGGGCACCAGCTCAAATCCAGTGCCTCTTCCTTCCAAAACAGCAGCTGCCGCACTGAGCTACAGGCCCTCTAGCTTATGCCTTTCTTCCTGGTCCCACATAGCTCCCACAGGCCTCCCCGTCCTGGCTGCCCAGACAGCCACTTCAGAAGAAGAGCTGGAGAGGGGCTGGTAGTGGCTGTTCTGTGGTGTGGGGAGTCCAGTGCTGTGCAGACAAGTTAGGGAGACTCAGGTTCAAACCTCTTCTAGGTTGATGGGGCAGGACCTCCAACTTCCTAGGGGACTGCCCAGCCTAGGCTGTGCAGGAGATGACATGGGAGGGCCCTTCCCTCCTATGCCCAGTCTGGGGGAGACATAGTCCTGCAGGATCACGTAGTCAGGGTCCAAATTCCAGCCGGTGTGCAAATGGCACTGCGGGCATGGTGGGGTGACCACCGTCCCTAATTGAGCAGGACAGTCCTGCCACGGGAACCTTGAGTCCCAGTCCTGGGATGCATGACTCCAGCACAGCACATGTCCCGGACTCACAGCATCGTGCAGAGATTGGGAAATGGTGGGTTTCCCCTTGCAGGCCGGCAGCGTGCAAGGGGCTGCCGGGAGCAGGATGCAGGGGGCGTTATGCATGCTCCTGCACACATGCACATGGCCAGGAATACAACAAGGCAGCATGGAGAACAGCTCCCTGCAGGAAAGTCTATGGGGGACATTACAGGGGACAGAAGGGAGGGCAGATCGAGGCTCCCACTGTGAGAGAGGGAGTGGGGCAGGGGCTGGGGGCACTGCCAAGCCAGGACGGTACATGGGGCTAGGGCAGGGAGTGGGACAGAGCCATGGATGGCTCATCCAGCGGCTGGAGAGCACTGGGGGAGGGTGTATGCCCCCCAGATTCATGCGTGGAGCAGGGGCGGATGTGAGCTTCCTGTCCTGCTGCCCTGCTCCTGGGGGCCCCACACTGGCCGTGCCACCATGGCAAGGCGCCCACTGCCCACCTGGCAGGGACAGCGTAGAGTTGTACCCCTTGGTGCTGCCAGGCGGGCAGGGAACCCACAGCCTGTGTGGGGCTTGTGAGGGAAAGGCAGCAGGGTGGGAGCCCTGGACCCACAACAGGCAGCCCACCCCCGCCCTCACCCCCTTCCCACTCCACTCAGGTCCAGTGGCAGGGAGAGCAAGGAGGCGGCTATGTCCCACCTTCCCCTTTTGAAAAGGTGGTCACTATAGGGCACTGAGACAACAAAATCTGGATTCTTGGATAACCAGGAAAGAACAAAATGGGCCCCCAAGAGACTCCTCTGAAGTGTCTGCTGGCCTCATGCAGGGAATAAGATGCTCCCGGGCCAAGCCAGTAAACCTCGTGGCTGGGTCCTGACCGAGCAGGGCACTGAGTCCTGTGGACAGGTCAGTGCCTGCAAGTGGGCTCTCACCCCCACAAGAACCTTACTTGCAAGCCCCGTGGTGCGGCCGGGCTCAGCCGGCTGGTGGCAGGAGAAAGGTGTTGGGTGGGAACGGAGCAGCAGGCTAGCACTAGTGCGCTGTGGGGATGGGGTTTGGGGCAGAGCTTAAGCAAGGGCTGTGGGGCTGCAGTCCAACCTGGTGGGACAAGGACCCTGAGTGACTGGAGGACGCACGGCCTTATTTATAGGGGACTCTGGCCAGAGTCTGGGTGTAAATGTCAGCCCCAGCCACCAGGAGATCACAGGCTCCTGGCTGTGTCCTGGCCCTCGGGAACCCGACCGGAGCATCCTGAGCAGCCTGGGTGCATCCAGGAGCATGAGTCTTGTCTCCGCTTTCTAAAGAAGAGGTGTGGATGCACAGAGCATAGCTGCATGCTCTGAGGCTCTGGCTGACAGCCGCAGCTGGTTTCTGTGTGGGAGAGCGGCACATACACTGTGCCTCCCTTCCTGCTGTCCGGCATCTGCACCCTGCCCATCGCCGCGGGGGGAGCACAGAGGGGCTGTGCCAGGGTACAGCTGCTGTCCCCGCAGGTGGCTCCTACCTGAGCGCTTCCAAGAGTGGAGGATCCCCATGGTGACCATGGATATGGCGAGGACAGCGAGGGGCAGGGCAATGAGCAGGATGTCCCTGTAGTCATACTTGCTGGCCGCCACACCTGGGGACAAGAGACCCACGTGGTCAGTGCCACAAGGAGCCTGTAAATGCACAGGTGCTGGGGCTGTACAGGGTGGCATGGTCACACCTGGCACTGGCTGGCCCCGCTGCGAAAGCCTCACAGCTCAGCAGGGGAGGTGGGCACAAGGACCTGACCTCTCAGCCTTTCCTTGGCACTGCCAGCTGCCACATACAGATCCAGAGCCCTCCCCTCCCATAGCCCCCCACTGCTGAGCTGGGCCAGTCACTGAGAGGCATGGAAAAGCAGCTGCAGACGGCGCCGAGGAGTCTCTCCCGCCCTCCCTGCAGTGCCAGGAGCCAGCTGGGGCGGCAGGAAGGGCAGGGGAAACTGGAGTTCCTCCCCGAGCAGAGGCAGGCAGGGCTCCTTGTGCAGCGCTTGCGGGCTCTTCCACAGGCTTTCCCCATGACAAGTGAGACTGGTGTTTGCAGATGCCAGCACCACCCCAGGGCACAGGCGGGGTAGCTGCGGGGCTGGACCCTGGTCCTCCTCTGGCATCTCAGTGGACGTCGGTGCAATTCTATTCTACCCTGTTCAAGTCCTGAAACTCCACAAAGTCTCTGATTTTGTAACACCCGGTTGCCTGACCTGCAGAAAGGTGGTGAGGAGGAGGGCCGACCCACCTTGGGTATTAACAGTTTTCCAAGGACTTGAGCAGGGTGGAATCCATGCCACTGAGGAGGGCGCTGGGCCCCGCACACCAGCCAGTGCCCTGCCTCACTACTGGGCTGCAGAGTCTCACACTGCTGGTGTGGGGAAAGCCTGGGCTCTCCCGGAGACACAGTCTTGGGAGGATGCAGCAGGGGAGCACCGGGTGCACAAGCCCCCTCCTGCTACCTGGACGTGCAGCCGGCTTCCACCGCAAGTCCCAGCCCTGCCCAGGGATCCCCCGGGTGCAGAGGGGCACACCAAGCTTATGGCTGCCACGTACCTTCTTCCTTGTGGCAGTGCTTCCATGGGACGATGGTCACAGAGACTTGACTGACAGCGTTGACTGCAGTGCAGGTGTAGCAGGCCGTCCTGTCCCCAGGACCCAGCTGGACCCGCAGGACCTGGCCAGCCTCGAAGAACGAGTGGGTGCCTGCATGGAGGTGCGCCCCCTCCGCACGCCTCCAGCTGTAGGTCACATTGGTGCCCTTTGAGGCACCGCAGGTCAGAAACACCTCGCAGGCCCCAGCAGAGCTGTTCTGGCCCGTCGATGTGAACACCTGCACGGCCAGCTGGGACACCACCTCTGCACAGGGGGTGGGGGGATAGTGGGAGTCAGAGCCAGGAATCTCCCACTGGCCAGGCTGAGCCCACACCCATGCCCACACCCACACCCACATGCACACCAGGGGGGCCACAGCAGTCCCAACACGCCCCATAGGGATGAACACTTATGCATGCTCACATGCTGGATTCATGCCCCAAGTTCAGTGCAGTGTGGGGCAGGGGGTGCTGTGCCCTGCTGGGCATGGCTTCCAGCTTTGGCCTTGAAACCCTGAATCTGGGGGGGAGGAGAAGCGGGCGGGGGTTGAGCAGGGCTGGGACAAGTCACAGAGGCATCTGTGTCCTCTCTCCATGTCACCGGGACTCCCAGCCACTTGGGGCCATCAGAAGGCCCATTGAGGGAGGATGCAGGAGCCTCGGGACAGGAGAAATGAAGGCTACAAGGAAGTCATGGCCCCAGGTTCCCCGATGCTCCCCAAGTGCAGGCTTGTAAGTGGGATTATTTCCTGGCGACAGCAGGGTGGGCTCAGCCCATGCCTGGGGGTGTCCCCATGTGAGGCCATGGCACTGGCAGTCACCTCTGTGCATCAGAAGTGCTGTGTGCCCCTGGGGGGATGCTGGCAGCCTGGGCAGGGCCCAGTGCTGGGTGCTTGGGTTCTCCCTCTCGCTGCAAACAACCCAGTGGGTGATGCCATCGCTGCCATCTCTGCAGCAGAGCTCAGGACAGGCCCCCACTCTGGGCCACAGCTTCTTCACCCTCCCAACATCAGCTCATGTCAGAGGCCCCCCCGCAGGACACCTCTGCCCCTGGGCGCTGCCCCCTGCCAGTCACACTCGGGCTGGCTCACGCTGCCCAGGTGAGCTCAGCTCAGGTCACTGGAATTTGACCTCCAGGATCAGTGTTGTGATGTCAAATACCCAGCGCTGTCTGTCTTGCAACTGCAGAAGCTAAGCTGGGGCCATGTACTGGGCAAGGAGCCTGGGAGATGGGGCCTGCCTTGGCACCAACGCAGACACCGGGAAGATGAAGCTGGGCATCAGCAGTGAGCACGACCCGAGTCCCAGCCCTCTGCCCCCAACAGGGCATAAGTGCCACGGTACCGTAGACAGCAAGGTGAAGGGTGCGTGTCTCAATATGCCCCCTCGTGTTCACCAGCAGGGCGGAGAAGGTCCCATTGTCTCCCAGTTCAACTTGTCCAATCTCCAGGGTGAGGTTCTTGTGGAGCCGGCTCCGGCCGTGGAAACGGGACTGGTACAGGGTCTCAGACGAGCCCCGGAAGAAGGTGGCCACCAGCTCTTCCTTGGGAGACAGGTACCTCCAGATGGCGTCCCTGACCTGGAAGCCCGGCGGCACGTTCACGTGCAGCAGCACCGGTTTCCCCACGATGCCTGTCACCTGCACGGAGCCGTGGGCTGCAGCCAGCAGGGCTAGGATGAGGAAACAAGAAGATCTTTTCATGACAGGCTGCAGGGTAGGGGGGGACTGGCTCAGAAGCAGTGTCTCCAGCAACTCTCCTCTCCCCAGATCCACAGCTCCTCCATGAACTATGATGGATGACTGTCCTGGACACCCACACCATCTCCCTGTGGGGGCTTCTCCCTGGTCTCAGGGCCCTTCCCATCCCTTCTTAAGGGATGAGCAGCTCATAGAGTAATGTCAGCAGACCTGAAGAAGGCGCTGGAGTCGAAAGCACATTCAAACCTGCCCCAGCCGTGCAGCTAGTCCAATAAACGCTGTTGCCCACAAAGATCCTTATGACTCAGAAAACACATTTTAAAGCCTGCTTCGCTCCCCAGCCCATTCTTAACCTTTTGGGCACTTTCCATCACCGGGGACCTAAGAAGGACACGCACACACTTGCAGGTCTCTTTGAAGATGACCCCTCTGGCACTTGGCAGCAGCTGTGATTGCAGAGGAACCAGAAAAGCAGCCCTTGCTTGGCTTCTCACACGCTGTGGGTCACAGCACTACCACAAACCATGCCGCGCTTGAGCTTTTTCCTCACCGATCCTCTTAAAGCTAAAATGTCATAAATCCTGCTAAAGACAAATTCCAGTCTCCCCAGAGGGACAGAATTTGGCATCGTACTTTGAATCCTAGCCAGAAGCTTCTTCCCCAGATCCTAACCCCAGGTACAAACTCACTGTGAAATAAGACCCGTTCCCAGTTTCCCATTGAAGCTCCACCCCATCCCACTCAGCCATTCTGCTAGTTTGCCCTCCCTGAACCTCCATGCTTCTCTGCCCTGTCTCTCCGTTGCTGCCCAGGACAGGAACTCAGAGATCCACTCCCCAAAAGCGTCTGGAGAGAGGGGACTTCCTTCAGCAGCACCCGCACCATGCAGTTTGCAAACATTTGTGTGAGCAGAGTCCTATTGCTGAGACCATTCCCAGACAGGGAAAGGGGAAGACAACCCCAGGACCCTGTACAAGCCTGTGAGTTGGCCCATCCTGCTCTGTTCCTTGGGCACACTGGTCCCGGCAGCGGGGGGCTGCCTGCCTCCCAGCAGGCCCCTGCGTGGGGTGACTAAGCCTCTCCCCTGTGGGGAGCATGATGTTGGCGTGTTACCAGCATAACACACGTGTCCTATGCTAGCAGGAGGCACGGCAGGTCAAAGCAACACACCTTGCACACACAGCCAGGAGCTCACAGACACCCAGGTGAGCCTGTACACACTGACTGGCCAGGGCACACTTGCCGAGGGGTGTATGTAGCCCCGCAGAGCACACCCAGCTGCCCTTGCCCCACTCCACTTGGTCCCAGCGGTGGTCAGCACCTAGTCCCCACACGTGCCAGCTGCAGGGCTGGCGTGCACTCACACACATCCAGGTGGGGCATTTTCCTGCAGTGGCGGCGGGTGAGTCACCGCCGCTCTCCCCGGTCACTGGTTGCGGTGTGGTCGCAAGCGCAGTGGCTGACTCAGGAGCTGGGCCTGGCTGAGCCGGGGCAGTTACTGCTCTCAGCCGTGCCTGCGCCGGGGGCTCCGAGTGCAGATCCCGGGGCAGGGCAAGGCGATGCCAGTGCTTACCTTGGTAAAGCAGCAGGGTCAGCAGGAGCCACGCTGCCATCTCGCTGGTCCCAAGCTGCCTGCTGCGCAGCAAGAGGAGAAACTGCAACGTCCTGCTGGCCGTGGGATGGCCGGGCTTTCCCACAGGAAATCCCCTCTTCTTGGCCGGAGGGAATCTGGAGGCGTCGCTCAGCTTGCTGCAGAAAGCAGAAGTGAGCTGCTGCCTTCCAGCCAGGGTTTTCAGGAACAGCAGGCCAGATGTGGGAAGCTGAGCTCACCCCCAGCACCAGGGCAGGGCTGAGGGCAGGGTGTGCTGTACAGGCATCAGCCACACTGCCCCGTGGACCCCTGTGCAGCCCATGCTGGGTCCAGGGGCAAAGGAAGGAGCCCACCACGCAGCCGGTGCTCTGAGCTAGGACCCTCCTCTACTCCAGCCAGCTCCAGGTCCTGTACTGCCCTCTGCCCCAGCCAGGCACCTTCCAGCCCTGTACAGCCCTGTATTAAGCACCATGACTAGCACGAGTCTCTGTCTCTTCTGCCCTCTCCGCGGGGCTGAGTGAGGTGGTCACTGCTGGCTAAGGTTTTGGGGGAGCTGCTTCTAAGTGTCCCCCATGTTCTAGGTTTATAATGGGGAACAGAGGCTCCAAGTTGGGCTCTGGGCTGAGCACCTGGCACTGGCACTGAAAGTAGGATGGTCTGGATATAGCCCTGGGTGTTGTCTTGCCCTGGGGGAAGCTCTGTCTCCTGGCAGTGGAAAGTCCCACGGGGCCGGGGTAGCAGGGGTGTTGACCACCACCTGCCTGCTGGAGCCCAAGGCTGTTCGGATACCTCAGGTCCAGGTCTGACTGGGAAGACACGGCCCGGCCCTGCAACCTGGCGCCCCGAGCGTGCTCTCGGCAGCCCAAACCGTGCCCTCCCACCCTGGCTGGAGCTCACAGCTCTGTGCACTGCTGCCTTCACCCCTGCACACGCCTGCCCAGTGCTAGCGGAGGGATGTGGGGGTGCGAGGGCGGCTCTTGGGGCACTCTGGAGCCAGCTGTGGTTACTGCCACCACTAACGAGAGAGCATGGCACCCTGGACTGGGTTTGAGCAGCCACCAGGCATGGGGTGTCCATACAAATGTTGTATGCCAGTGGTGATCAATCTTTTGACCCTATGGGCCAAATGAGTTGCCTGGGACCAGTCCACAGGCTGGATGGGGCCCTGGGGTTCAACACCTCCCCTTCCCACCTCCCACATGCTGGCTTTGAGCACCTGGCACCAGCTCCTCTTGGCCCCTGTCCACCATTGCTCCCCCGCCCCGACTGGATGACGTGGGTCAGGGGTTGAGCCCCCTTGCTGTATGTTGTCATGCCCCGGCAGCTAAAGCTGCTTCTGTTTGCTTGGCTCCTTGATTTTTGCTAACAGCACTGGGGCAGCACACCCCTGCCCATGCCAAATTCCTGGAAATCACCCGCTGAACCCCGTTGGTGGCTGAGAGTGCATGCAGTTCTGGGAGCCATCTGCAGTCGTGTTCAGGATTGCACAACGAGCATTGCCTCAAACATCGTTAGTCATTTCTAAGAAGGCTCGGTCATTCCATCACAGAGGGAAGTTGTTGTCTGGGGTTATCAGCGTTGGCATTGCCGCTGTCCTTGTCTGGTGTTATTGATGTGTTGTCGGTGTTGGCATCTCAGGAACTCCAGTGCCAGCAAGTCACAGCCAGAAGATCTGAACACCAATTGTGTCTTAAAAAACGACCACAAGCTCCTTTCGGTGGCAATTAAGAAAATGAACTAGGGGAGCTAGTTCGGTGGCAATAACAAATCCAGGACATAGAACAGGTGCAAAAAAAAACCTGGCCAATCTCCAGGGTGAGGTTCTTGTGGAGCCGGCTCCGGCCGTGGAAACGGGACTGGTACGGGGTCTCAGATGAGCCCCAGAAGAAGGTGGCCACCAGCTCTTCCTTGGGGGACAGGTACCCCAGAAGAAGGTGGCCAACTCCTTGGTGGGCCATCCAGATGTGCCCCTAGCTGCCAGTAGTCAGAGCAGTAAGTGTGGTACCGAAGCATAGGAATACAAGGAGTGGGAATCGAAACATGCTGTTATCATATCACCAACACCAGAATACTAAATTGCAAAACCAGATTGTAAAGGAACTGACTTTAGCTATAAAAAGGGCTGTAGTAACCAGTGAGACTCACTTTACCTCATGCTAATACTAGAATGATAGAATATAGGATTATGAACCAAGGCAAACCAATGCAGAAATTAGCAGTGACTGAAATACCACTTGAGATGCATGAAAAACACAACTGAGGCAGTAACACCTGTAAAAACTTTGGGTTTCTTACTTTGGGGCTTTATACATGGTCTAATACTCATACATTTAGGTTTTAGTGGTATTGTGTACCAGTATAATCAGTACATTAAAATCTGTTATAATTGTAGAGCAGGGGCGGGCAATTATTTTGGGCGGAGGGCTGCTTACTGAGTTTTGGCAAGCCATCAAGGGCTGCATGACAGGCAGCCAGGGGCACATAACTATTAATTTGCTAAAATTTTTAAGGGCCCCGTGGGTCAGATAGCATGGCCTGGTGGGTCGCATTTTGTTGGCCCGGTCGGCCTGGTCGGCCACATTTTGTCCACCGCTGGTATAGCTGGCTTGTTATCATTGCATAAATGAAGTATTCCAAGCAGACAAGGTTCCTTGGGTGAATTTGATATCTTTTATTAGACCAAACCAGCAGGCCACTCCTCTCAACTTCTAATGATGCTCCTGGCATGAAATGACTAATTGGAAGTAATAACAAATAACCAGAAGATTCAGAGGCACGAACCGGGTCAGCGAGGATCCCACACCCAGGAAGGCGTGCTCTGGCCATGTGGCCTGAGCCCTGCCTGGAGAGCCTCTCCCTGGGGGATTCACACAGGAGAGCCATTATTCCTCCCCACTGTTGCGCACAGGGGCTGTGGCTGAATGGGTGCACTGCTCAGCAAGACGCCCGGTTTCAGTGTCTGGACTCCCTCCATCTTTAATGGAAATGTTGTTTTTCCACCTTCCGTTCTTCCAACAGCTGTTCCCAGCCTCTACATCAGTGATGCTTACCCATTTTCCACTCAAGGCCCACCTTGGAAAATGCCAGCTCTTCGCTTTCACTTATTCCTTGACTATGGAAAAAACACTGGAGCAATTCTTTTGTTGCAGAGAACTCAGAAAACCCCCGGCCAGTCAAGATGTTCTGACACCCTGGTTCTTACTGGAGATCTGGGCTATCTCATGAACCATGTGTAGCTGTTGGTACCTCTAACAGGGCTGATATTGTGTGGCACCTTGCAGCATCCTTAAAAGGATCTCATGGCACCCCAGGCCCCAGAGCACCCTGGGTGAGAACTACTGCTCGAGATCCTGGGGTGCGCGTGCTGCCAGGTTAAAGAGCACCTGATAAGCAGATATAGAGGCCCAGGCAAATGCCTCATCTGGGAGGCTGGCTCCTCCTCTAGGAGCTACAGCCAGAGCAGATATAAATATTTCTGCTGGTTCCTCTTCTGAAACCAGATAACAAATTCTGCAGCAAAATTGCTGAGCTGACAACGGGCAGGAGATGCAGGAGGAAGCAAGTGGCCAGCAGGCACTTCTGCATGGCTGCTCTACCCAGTACCCAAGGGGCACCCAGCTGCACTTGGGCAGGCCGTACTAGGGTCCTTCCACGTACACCACGTGCTACCTGTATCCTGGCAGGTCTGCCTGCTCGATGCGGTGAATGACAGGGTTGGGAAGAACGTCACTGCGTGCCCAGGAGTCTGAGTGTGCCCTGCGTGTCATGCTGCAGCTGTGCTTTGTCCTTTCTATTAAACACCACGTGATGTCTGTATTTAGCTTTTATTAGCTAATTATTTTGCTTACGTGCTTCTATTCTTGTCAGCTGTTTGATGGCAACGTGGCACCGATGCTGTGGGCTTTGTGTACGCCGTGTGTAATTACTAGCAGCAGTGGTCAATTGCTGCAAAGCCTTGCCGAGGGCTCTCGTCCTGCCCTGAATATCCCAGGGGATGATGCCAGCTTGAACTTCCTGGCACGGCTGGCACCCAGGTCTCAGAGGTGGCCTGCTTTAGGCCAAGCCTTGTGGGCCACTTCACCCCCTGCTGCTGCTGTCCCTGGCAGACCCGTGGGGGGACGTTGCTATTCTGGGGCACGTGTCATGCACTGAGGACACCAGTTCTCTGGAGAAAGGCAGAGGGATACATGGGGCTGGCTTGAAATGCTGGCAGGGTGCCCTTGCCCAGAGGAAGTGGGTGCAGGCAGCCGGGGCTCCCATTCCTTAGGCTGTGAATACAGATGGGACTGTCCCAGGCCTGGGGCTGCAGGGACCGTGTCGATGGGTGCCAGGTGGAGGAGGCGTAGCAACATTGCAGGGAGGTAGCCAAGAAAGCAGGGACATGGGGCTAAACGTGTCAGAAGGAGGCAGCCGCTATCCTGGGGGTACGGGGCAGAGTCAAGTGCTCCCCTCTTTGCGTGGTGGCTGCTGCAGCAGCACGAGCTCCCTCAGCGCTGCCGTTTCGGTGCCGCTCTGAACCGGAGCCTGGCACCAGTGTCCTGCTCCCCTCCCAAGCAAGGCTGCGGGCATTCGGTGTGTGAACCCCACCCCAGTCACGGACTGAGCTGCACCCAGCTGGAGGGGCTGTGCACGTCGTGGACAGGGAACCTTCCTGGTGGCAACAGAGCCACCCCGGCCACTGAGCAGAGGTTTGAGGACCTACATTTGGGGCTTAGGTGCCTAATGCAACCCTGAGGCCCCTCAGCTGCCAGGTGGTGCCTCCCCACTCACACGCCAGGTGTTTATTTTGCAGAGAGGCACCTGCTGGCAGCCACCGTCTTGCATCTTTTTGGATAAAAGATTGTAGCAGTGCCCCTCCTGACACCCTTTGGTGAAAGGGTGTTTTTGGCCTTCTTTGGAGGCATTGAGGGTCAGCTTCAGCCAAGCTGGGGGACCTGACTGCAGCGTGCCAATGCCCCTGGCTTGTTATGCCTCCCTTCAATGCCAAGGCCTGGCTCTCAGCATACCAGGGGCTGATTGGCACGTGAAGGCCTGTTGGACAGCCCTTGGGCTCAGGCCCTAACACTTCATGTCTCTGGTGCCTGGTTAGAGGGTCTTACCTCTCTGCTCTGGGTCAGACCAGTTGTCATAGTTGGGGTCAGGAAGGCATTTACCCTGTGGTCAGACTGGTGCAGACTGTGGGGGATTTGTAGCGGAGGCACGGCCCTCCTCCTTGGACCTCTCCTGTGCATTTTAACAACCTTTGCCATGGCGGGACATTGACATCCCTTGCCTCTAGCTTCACCCGTGGCTGGATGCTTTGGGCCAATGTGCCTTGTGGCTGTGTGACAGGGGCAATTGTGTTGGTCTAGTAATAGGTTAGACAAGGATTTCTATGGGGTGGTTTGGTGGTGATGATCCTGCCTCAAGTGGGGGTTTGGACTAGATGTGACCTCCAGAGGCCCCTGCCAGCCCAGATGGGCTGTGATTGTGTGAACACAAGCTGGGGGGAGAGTCCCGCGGTGTCAAGGATTTCCCAGAGGACTTTAACAGGCCTGGCAGAGGCAAAGGGAAGAGCCAGAGCAGATCTTGGAGATGGTGTTCCTGTTTCTAGCACAACTCGGGAAGAGCACGTGAAGGCCTTGTATATGCGCAGAAATGACTAGAGGATGCAGAAGTGAAACCATAAGAGGGGCACATCAGAGGAACAAAACAGAGGGACATTTGGTGGGGGGTGTGAAATTTGCCCAGGTCCTGGACCCCCAGCCTCAGAGAGAACAAGCCCTGGTGAATTAAAGATCCCACAGTCAGGCAGTGTTTTGGGGATCCTGCAATAATTGTAGGCAGCAGGGTCCAGACTGTGCCAAGACCTCTCAGTAAACTTCAAAGGGTGCATAGGGAGTGGAGCTGGGAAATGCACAGGATCAGCCCAGCCATGAGCTAAAGACTAAACTGTGTCAAGCTGCTTCTTAATTGACCTTCAAAGAGGTGGAAGGTTTAATTTTGTGGTTGCCTGGGCAGGGCAGAGCATGAGTGTTGGCTTCTAGCAAGAAGTGGGACTCGTGGTGTAACTAATGGAAATGAAAAATGAAGCACGGTAGAAACATTCAAAATCCTCAGCGCTTTGCTGGGGTTCACCCACTCAGTTCGTGCTGTCGGTGGGGAAGTGGTTGTCATCGCGTGTAACCATTGTTCTCGGAAATCCTATAAAAGGCGGAGAGCAAAGGGCCAAGTGTTGGCCTGATCTCCTGCACTCAGGCGAGGGAAGGGAAAGGGCAGGTTCAAGACAAGCAATCGTGGAGGGCAAAAGGGGCAACTCAGTTTATCAGTGCCTGGACTCTGAGGTCAAGGAAATCCTCAAGGAAAAGGTGCTGTTATTTTTCTCCAGGTTTTGCAATACAACGCTGTGGCAGGAGACGCCTGTGCAGCCTGCCCTAGCGTGTGCACACCCCAAGCAAGGGTGACTGATTGGTCACTTTGCCTGGGTGAGGCTGGCATGGGGTTGCTCCTTCCTACTGGATAGATATCCATTCCTGGGGGCCCAACAGGCCGATTGGACTTGGCACCAAGTGGAAGCTGCTGGCAGTAAAGACCAAAAGTGGCAAGCCGCGTGGTCTGGTGACAGCAGCCTCCTGGCTGGAGCTGGTGCTGCGACATGATATGGAGAGTTTCTCCCTGCGCGAGGCCTAAAGCGCTTTCCTGACCTGCCAGCCTGGTATGAGGGTATGCAACTACCTGCAGAGCTGTGTCACATGCCACATGCCCCAGCTGACAAACCTTCCACAAAGGCCTTCATGCCACCTCGGAAAAGGCTGCCTGCCTTGGGCAGACCTGCGGCAGGGGGGGAGCTTGGATCCAGGGAGACAGACACCCGCTAACCTGGACTTGGAGCCAACAGCTGGGGAGCTCTGCAGCCCCTTGGCACGGTCTCGCTAAATGAAATCCTTCTGTGGGGGGAGTTGCCTGGGGAAGTGAGGTGCGTGGCTTGATCCCAGCTGTGCAATGCAGCTGGCCCTAACAAGGAGCGGCACATCTGCCTGTCACCCCAGCCCCATGATGGGGAGTGGGACACGCTAAGGACAGTATGAGGATTTTAGGGATTAACATTAGGATTAGGGTTTGCTGAAAGGTAGTGGTGAGGGTTAGCCTTTAGGATTAGGGGTAGGATCAAGCTGTTGCCGGGGTTATGCTGAGGGTTTGGAGTTAGCATTGGGCTGCAGGTTAAATTTAGGATTTGTGCTAGGTGTTCAGTTTGGGTGAGGTTCAGGGACAGGGCTCGAGCAGTGGTACTCAAGCTTTCTGCTCTGCAAGTCGGATGGGCTGTGCTCAATTCATCCGTAGGCCAGATCCAGCATGTGGGGCAGGCGTGGCAGGCCCCAATCCAGCCATATGGAGGGGTAGGGGGGGCAGCTGGGGCCCAATCCAGCTGCGCAGGGGGAGGGAGGCATGGCCTGACCCCAACTGGGCTGTACGGGGGGAAGCGCATATGGCCCAGCCCTGACCTGGCCATGCAGGACTTGGGGATTTGGCAGAGGGGAAGGAACGGGAGTACTAACACCCCCACCCCCACCACATTTCCCAACCCACGAGAAGCCCCGTGGGCCGGATGCTATGGCTCCATGGGCTGGATCTGAGCTGCAGGCCGGTGTGGGTCACCCCTGGATCAGGGCTCAGCTCAGTCGATGGGATCTGAGATGAATGCTGTGCTAGGACAGGATCAGAATTGTGGATCAGGATTGTGGGCTGCTTTTGGTTTGGGGGAGAAATGGGAGCAGGGTTCAGCTGCCTGGTTTCTTTGTCTTGATTCCCTGAACCAGTTCTGATGACTGTGGTCACCCTGAACCCTTCAGCATTTACTAGGGAGGGGGCAGTCCTAGGAGACCAAAAATGGGCTGGGGCTCCAGGTCCCACAGCTCCTATTTTCAGCCTGTTCCTGGGAGATTGCAGCCTGTCACCTGCTGTCAGATGATGGGTTGGATATAGGGCAGGGAGCACTGCAGCCCACTTTTACGTGGGCAAACTTGGAAATAGGCAAGAGAAACAAAGCAGGAGTTATCCTGTGACATGCAACCAGCCTGGGTAAGTCATCCAGGGCAGAGCTTTCATGCTCAGGTCTCACCAAAATGGGTCATCTTAGTGCAGGGGTGACTGTTGAGTCAAAGACGCACGACACGCCAAGGTGAATGCATTTCGGTTTATTCCCACGTTTGATAAAAAGCTAATAATTGTACCGAGATGATCTTCCTATATCAAGAGCAATGTCAATGCTAATCCCTGGAGCCAATCCATAACCAATGCATTCGAAGTGGAGGTTTGGCTGGAGGGTTTTGTGAGAGCGGCTTGTGATCATGATTTTTCCGAACAACCGCAGAACACCGAGCAAAATCGACGATAAAGAAAGGAAGAGCAGGCCTGGTGCGGCAGTGTCCATGGGCAGGACGAAGGGCAGGGATGTTTTAGAAAGCAGCCCACGCTTACTCCAGCAAAAGGTAACACATGTGGACTTAGCCCAACACAGGAGGTCTGTTGTTGTAAACCATGTGCTGCACTGGGCTAAAATCCTATTCCTCTGGCTCCTCTCTGTCTCGGGCCAGCTGCACTGTGTGGCAACAGCGTGTAAAGCTTGGCTCAGCTCAGCAGAGGGGGCCTCATCAGCCCAGACCTGCCAGGTGGCATCCTGGACCCAGAAACATGCCAGGGTGTGGGGCAGCCACTGCTGTGGGCACCTGTCAGCTGCAAGCTGCTGTCTGGGACAGATCAGCCACCCCGGGTCCCACTAACAGCCCAAAGCGAGCTACCCCAATCCCTACAGCTGCCCCCCCAGCCTGTTTGTTGGAGGCAGGGAGAGCAGTGGATTCACGGCTCAGCATCAAGCCGCAGGAGCTGCTCCTCCCTCCCCAGCAACAGCAGTTGCTTGACAATGGGAAGCTCCAGCCGCTCTCTGCAGAGACCTGGAGAAGCCCTGGTTGCTTGTCCCGCGTGGTCGCCTGGTGCTGCTCGATGATGCTCCGTGTCATGTGCTGCCCCCAGCACCTCCTCACCAGCCTCCCTGGTGTCGATGTCCATGTGCTGGTTGGGCCAGGGTCGTGCCATGATGGGGCCACACAAGACCCTAGCTCTCCAAGCCCATTTTGGAGCGCTTGCCCTAGTGCCCCAGTGCATGGACAGGGCAGGGACCAAGGTCACCCTGCTCACACTGCTGGCACTGCAGATAGCTGACGGAGTGATGCTGGGGGCTGGCTCTGCCCGGGGTGGCACTAGCACTGTTCCTGTGGGTAATACAGACCACGTGAGGTCCCAATTACTTCTCCCCAGCCCCTGCTGCACACAGCCCACGGCCTGCCTGGCACAGCCAGCAGGCACTGGCTGTGGGTCATGCCAGAGCACCACAGGCAGATCCTCTACCGTGATGCTTTCTGTGCAGCCTCACCTCCACCCACCCACCACTGCCACCCCCACTGCCACCCCTTTGCCCCCCTGCCACAGGCATTACCTGCTGTCCCCAGGCACCTCCCGCCAGCAGCACCTCCGTCTGTGGCACCACAGCAAGCCCCAGATGAGCAGGATGAGCAGGATCAGGAAGAGGAGGGACCCCAGGATGGAGCCCACAATGACCCCCACCCGAGCTGCACCTGCAGGCAAGGAGCACACCTGTCACCTCCTCCCACGGGCCACGTAGGGAGCATGGGGCTGCCTCCTCCCAAGCGCCCTGTGACACCATCTGCTGACCCCATGCACACCCTGGCACAGGGCAGGACTCATATCACTCAACCCAGAGCCCCCCTGCTCCGGGTGCAGCCCTCCCTCCTGAACAGCTCATCCCAGCGAGTAACCCTGGGACTAGCTCTGGCTGTGTCCTTCCAGCACGGGACAGACTGTGCAGGGAGCCCGGGCCTGCCTACGGCCAGAGGGATGTGGACTTCGTGGCAGCTGGTCGTGGGACTCAGGCCCCATGTGAGGTGGTGGGAAGGGGGCATCTCCCCTGTCCTTAGTGGGAAATGCTGGGGCTGAGCTCAGGGTCCAGCTCCTCTGTGCCTTGTTCAGGTGCTGCAGGTAAATACATGCCTTCGGGGCTCTGTGGCACTGGGTCCTTCCTGCTCATAGCCCAGCCTGGCGTCAGCTCCCATTTGAGGGGCTCCTGCCAGATGCTTGGGACAGGTTGGGGTGCAGTCCTGTCCCAGCTGGAAGTCCCAGCGCGGCCTCCCCCGGCACCCTGACCCTGGTGCCCCCACACCCTACCTGAGCCGACGGAGATGGTCACGCGGCACTGGGAGTAGCCCACCCTGTTGGCCACGCGGCACTGGTAGATCCCGGCATGCTGCTGCGACAGGCTGTGGATGTACAGCTCCCCGGGGATGTGCCCTGCCCAGGAGAGACACGGCCTGAGTGCGGCTCCTGGGACCCCTCACGCCGGGAGCTGCAGCTTCCCTGTGCCCTGAGAAGCCCCTGAGCCCCTGGAGGGCTCCCTGCCAGCCCCCCGCCCCTTCCCAAGTCAAACGTTGCTCCATTCAGAGCCAGATCCTTTGGCCAGGCTGGAGCTGAGGCCTGAGGCACTCGTGTCCCTGGTGCAGCCAAAGAAATGCTCCCAGCTCAGCACAGGGATCACTCCCACCTCCACCACGCATGGCCTTGGGCCGCCAGCTCCCCACGGGGCCTCGCACCGCTTACCCTGCCCTGTGCCCAGGGGCAGCTCCCCCGCAGCAAAGTCCTCCTCCACTCTGGACCACTGGTAGGAGAGGGGAGCGGAGCCGCCCTGGCAGTAGCATTTCAGGACAACATTGCTGCCCTCGACCTGCTCCCCCTCTGTCCAGCACTGCGGGGTCACTGGCTTCTCTGTGGGGCAGAAACAGACTGCGTCAGCCAAGGGAGTCCAGCCGGGCTCAGAGACGGACAGACCCGGCCTTGCAGATGGACAGGCAAAGCAGGTGCTGGGTGGCCGGGTCCCCTCAAGAGTCCGGAGGGGAAAAAGGAGTCGTGGGGCTGGCAGGGCCGGGTCTGCATCCAGATTGCAGGGAGCTGGCAGGGTCGGGGCAGGGAGGGGTCGGCCACTGGCTGGTTTAAGGACTCCCGTTTGGAGCGGCTCTGTGGCTTTAGGTGCCCAAAAACTGGGGAGGTGCTGGCCCGGCTGGACTGAGCCCTTTTTTTTCTTAAAGAAAGAAATAAATAAATATAACTTTACCTCCAGCACTCCACCAAGTGGCCCCTGTGGTTCTCTTGGCAGATCAAAGCACACTTTGATAAAAACCTGTTACACAGTTTGCACCGCGTATCCACGCACCCATCTCCATACCCATACTACCACCAACTGCCCTCCTCAGAGGGCCTAGCCTGCCCCTGACTTTTTTTTTTTTAAGGAAAATTTTTTGTGTCCCAAGTCAAATCAGCCAAATCAATTCCAAATTCATGCGTCATTCAAGAACCAAATGTGGCCCTGCTACCAGCAAGCATCCTCCACCCCTGCCTGGGGCTTCAGATGCTTCCAAATCCTTTGGGGGGCATCCTACATGCAGGCCCAAGCCTGGAGGCTTGGATTCGGATACCCCCAAGCTTCACTTGCTCCCAGCCATACGGCTGTAGGAACAAGCTAGGGAGGATTCTCCATTTCCAAAAAGTCAGCATATAGCTGAGATCTTCCCACCGGAAGTGAGAGTGGGAGGGTAACTATGCATGACTACATGGCCAGGGAAGGGTCCACGTGCGAGCAGGAGGGTCTCAGCTGCGGTGCCTCGTGGGGTGTGGGGCTCACCTTGCACGGTGATGGTGACCTCGTGAGTGGCCAGCGTGTGCTTCCTCACCCGGCACTGGTAGGTGGCCGTGTCTGACACCTGCAGGTTCGCCATCTGGATGGAGGCGTCGTGCTGGCTCGGGTCCTTCTGCACAAACGCCACCCTGTGCTGCAGGCCCGGGGTGCCCGGGTACCTCACCTGCTGGTCCTGGTAGGTCAGGAACTGCAGGGAAGAGCTGCCATGAGTGACCATGGGGAGGTGTCACCGGGGTGGGGGATGTAGGTCCCAGAGGAGGCAGCCCCTGGAGGAGGCAGCCCTAGGGCAGGAGGAGGCTGCGGGGGCAGTGGGTGAAGACTACACTGAACGGGGGACACTGGCTGGCCCTGCCCTGGGGAGGGGCTGGCTAGGCACGGGTGTGCAGCTGCCAGGGAGCGGCTGACTGAGGAAGGGGGTGTGATGTACTCATCCAGGGCAGGAAGGGGGCAGGGGTGCAGGGCCCCTCAGGCCGGGAGTCTGAGCCAGCTCCCAGCGGGCGGTGCCCAGGGCATGGGCAGGGTCTGCGCCTGCTGCGGAGGCAGGTGCTGAGGTGGGAGCAGAAGCCAAGTGTGCTGGATGCAGAGCAGAGGCAGGCTGGGGCGTGCGCTGGGCTCGTGGAGGGGCAGGCTGGCACTCACCACACTGTCTGGGTGCACTGTGTCTGGGCTCAGCTGGATCCACTCGATGCCCACGGCACCGGAGCCATTGTCCTCAGGCTCAAGGGTGTAGGGGCAGCCCAGCTTCACTGACTCCCCTTTGGCCAGGTACAGCACCTCCCGGCCCCTCGCGCTGATCTGCACGGCCGCCGGCAGGGCTGGTAGAGGGACAGACCACTGTCACACTGGGCAGGACAGACATTCGAGCCTGGGCAGCCTGCATGAGGGGCGGCAGGAGCCCACCAGTGCCCACACACAGACCTCTGCCCTGCCCTGCCCTGGTCAGGGGGTGCCCAGCCCCAGGAGCCCTGGCAGGTCCTGCCCATGGCACACGGGAGCAGCAGGTGTTCGCTACCGCTCGGGCAGGCAGTGCCAGGGGTTGGTTGGGCCCAGGGCCAGGCTCAGCCGGAGGGGGCTTAATGCCATGTTCCCTGGTGGCTCCCACCCTGCAACTCACAGCTGGGGAAGCGGCTGGCCCAGCCCCCCGGCCCCTTGCAATGTGCAGCGGTCAGGACCCACTGCCTCGCCTGCGGGGTGGCAGGAGGGTTTCCAGGAGGGGTCTACCTGGCAGGAGACACAGGAGCAGGAGCAGGGCAGCACTTTGCTGGGCCATGATCCCACAGCCTCTCGTGGCACAGCTGGACTGGAGCTGGAGCAAGGCAGGGCAGGGCGCGTGCGACCAGAGGAGGCTCACACCAGACAGAGCAGCCGTGCTCGGGGCTGCTTTTACATGCTGGGTTGGGCGCTTCTCCCAGCGGGAAGATGCCTGTGGGGTGAGTGGGGTGGTGAGAGAGCAGCCGCCAAGCCATGAGCAAGGGCTGAGCCTCGGCCCCTCCCTGGTAATTAGGCACCAGCTCAGTATCAGTGTGGGGCCTCCCTCCCCTGTGATTATTCTGCACCGAGAGGTGCTGGCTTGGCGGGGGGGGGTGCCAGGGGCACTGCTGCATGTCAGTGTTTAAATGGTCACTGGAGGAGGCTGCTCCCCTCCCCCCCGCAGCCCGGGTGAGCCCCAGCACCTGGGTGAAGGGTCAGCCAGTCTGTGGCATCCACGGACCCCTGCCTGCACCAAGGCTGAAGCTCTTGCCCTGAGCCCGGCGAGGCGGGGTGGATGTAGCTGAGCCCCTGCCTTGCCCTGGGGGCACGGGGCTGCAGCTGGCCTGGGCTCGGTGGCGCTCTGCCTCGTTACCAAGGGGGCAGGTGGGGGGGCCCAGCTGGTGCAGGACCTGACTGGAGGGAGACAGGATGGCTTTGCCTAGGAGCCGGGGCCAAGAAGCGACCAAGACAGCCCTGCCAGGGACTTGTACTCCCTGCTCTGCCTGGTGGTGCTGGGCTGCATGTGGGGTGCTGTGCCAGCCCCGTGGCCCCACTGCCACCTCACCAAGCCCCAGTGCACAGGGTTTTATGTAAAGCCAGCCCGACAGTGGCTGGGGGCCCGGGCCGGGCTGGAGCCCAGTGCAGTGGCCTGCCACTGACCAGCGGTCTCTGCCCCGCCACAGTAGGACCCCTTTCCCCCCTGAGCACACCCCCTCATCCAGCTCAGGGACTCACCCCCTGGATCTGACCCAAGCTGGAGCCCCCCTGGGCAGGGGGAGCCAAGTTCATCACGCCCAAGGCTGGGCCCTCCCGTCACAGCCTTGATTTTACAGGCAGCTGAAGATGCCCCCCAAGGAGAAGCCCCAGGGGGCAGGGCCCTGGCTCCAGAGCCCCAGTTGTGCCATGTGCCACGCAGGATGGCCCCAGCAAACCATGTACTGCAGCCCCTGCCAGCCCAGGAAAGCGCCAGCCTGGGTGCGACAGCAGGGCCTGCCTTAGCTCCCAGTCCAAGGGACACAGCCAGGCCCAGCTCGGCCACAGCTCTTGCCTGGGGCACAGGGCACGGCCTGAGTCTGTGGTTTCCCTGGTTGTGATGCGCAGGCTGGGTGAGATGAGTGGCGCTGCCTCTGCCTCTGCCTACGTGATTGTTACCTCTCCTTGGGTCACCTGCTGCTCTGGTCACTGACCTGTGTTGCACATTACCCCTCGGTGGGCCGGGCCTGTGCTAGGCACATCCTCGTCAGTGGTTAATTATCTGGCAGTGACCCTGGCTGGCTGGGGAGGGGCTGGTGTAGAAGCTGGAGAGGCTCTGGGCTGAAGCCTGTGCCAGTTGTGGCAGCTCCCCTGCTGCATGCCCACCAGCTCCAGGTTCACCTTGGGGTGCAGCTGCCAGCATCTCACCACAAGGCTCTTGCTGCTTGAGATACGTAACAGTTTTGGGGCCCTGAGCTCAGCAGTGAGCTGGCCAGCCTGTGCCTTCTCTGCCCTGAGCACCTGCCCTGCCTGTGCACCTGCCTGTGCACCTGCCCTGAGCCCTCCAGGAAATCACCCTGCAGCCAGGCTAGCCAGCTCAGCCTCAAAGCACAGCTTGCACCTCTGACGCCCTTAGACCACTAGGTCCACCTTGTTCACCGCTTCCAAGTGAGCTGGGGGTGCTCCTCCACTTGGGGCAAGGACAGAAGACCTGGGGCAGCAGAGTCCGGTGCCACTGCTCCGTCTGTCTGCTCCAGTGCTGCAGGAGAAGCCAGATTGCAGTCATTGCCTTGTTGCATTCAGGAGTAAAACCCCCGGGGAGCTCGCTTCCCTCCTTGCAGGATAGGAGTAGACAGATGAAGCAGTTCAGAGGTGGGTCTGGGGGGAGCACAGGTGCACATGCACCTCCCTGTGCTTCCTGCTCCACCCCAAGTTTAAACCAGCCGCCTGGCAGTTCTAGCCCAGCAGCGCCGAGAGTGTCACTTCACTTCATCTCCCCGATCCCTTCTAAACTCTTCATTTCACAGGTGTCGAAGAGCCGCTTTCCTTTCTGAATGGTCTTGATGTCCCACCGATCGAGCCAACCTTTGTTCTGCTGTGCTGCTGCCTGGTCCCTGCTCCTGGCAGCGAAGCTCCTATTTCACAGCCCTGCAGGCTGTTTTGACCTCTTTCCAATGAAGTACTATTTGTTTTTGCTTCAATCTTAAACTGAATAAGCCAGCCCCAAGCCCCTAGCCTATCAGTACAGCTTCTAGTTTAGGTTTAACTGGAGAGCAGTGTGTGCCGTTCCATACGTGGTGACACACCTCACCAGCTGCACCCCCCGTTTCAAACCTAGATCCATCCATGGAGCAGGTTCACTGAACCAGCTGGTCCCCAGTGCTGAGTCCTTCCCCCTCTTTGAAAAGGGTGCGACTTTCCATCCGCACAGGCCTGCATCAGACACGTCTCCGTGGCCCCAGGATCTAAGTGCCTCACGCTCATCGTGGTCACCCGGTGCGTGGGCAACACTGTCGCCCACGCGCCCACAGTTGTGTTCCTCAGGTGGTGCCACCTCCTCTTCCACACAGACCACTTGCCCGTCATCTCCCATAGGCACAGCTCTAGCCACTGTAAAATGTCACCCCATGGATATGGCGGGGCGTGCAGCATCCTGCACTCCTAGAGCTGCTGCCTGGCGGGCCGCAGGACACTTCTTTGTGCCGAGAAATGCACCTGCCGAAAATTTCTTTGTGCCGAGAAATGCATGGGCTCTGTGGCCCGTTCTGGCTGGGCACCCACCAAGCTGCTGCATTTGGATCTCAGGATGCAGGGCCTGTGTGCGCTGCTTCTGCCCCAGGGCCTGGCAGGCTGTGGCACTGGGCCTCTCTGCCACATTTCCTGGCCATAGTCACAGGAATGGGAGCTCGTAGCCCTGCTGCCTGTGGACCCCAGGACCAGCACTGCCTGGAGCCTCTGGGAGCTCACTCGTGCCCTCTCCAGAGCTCCAACCTCACGCCTGCTCTGGGCTGGCAGTACTCCAAGGGATAGCGATGGGGGAAGCCAACAGGGGCATGGGCTCCACAAGGGTTTGGAAACCCCATCCCACATTGCCCTAGCTGGCCCAAGGGACATTTAGCCCCAGGCCCCATAGTCCACGCTGGCAGGCGCTGCCTGGCTTTGTTCCCTCTGGCCAAATTCCTCAGAGTCCAGCCCGCCACCCCCTCCTCCCCACACACGGCTTCTCTGAAGGCAGTCCCACTCCCACAGGTGAACTGCACATGGGCAGGGCCCCTGCTACAAAGGCCTGCCCCTCTGGGGGAATGCTGCTACTCCAGAGGGTGGGAAAACTGGGTTTCCCCTTAGCTTCAGCTATCTCACAGCCCCACAGTGCTGACATTGGACTGGGATGACTGCACTGCCCAGCTTGTGTCAGCACCTGGGAATCAGCTCACCGCAGAGCAAGAGAAACAAGCTGGTGCCTGGCTGCATCCAGGGTGGAGCCTGCAGCCCAGAGCAGCAGTCCCTGATGCCAACAGAATGCACTCTGCGTGCACCCATGCCCCAAGTTGCCACTGAGGATGTGCTTAGCTGCTCTAAAGGGCTGGTGTGAGAGCTACCCCAGCTCCCAGCCATGCTCCAGGATTCCTCAGCATTTAGGATGCTTGGTCCCCAGCCACAGCTTACTGCCCTGACACCCAGAGGGTCCATGAGGGCAGTCCTCACCATCCTCAACAGCCACTGCGGGTTCTTTCTAGGACAGCTTCTAGGACAGAACCAAAGCAGCAGACTGCAAAGGAAAACCTGCAGCAGCCCTGACTGCACTGCCGCTATCAGCACCTCCACGAGGGACAGCTACAGCAGGAGAGCCAGCCTACGGGTGCTGTCAGCCCAGCATGTGTTGTGACAATCACTGGTGGTGCTGAACATAAGGAGCAGAAATGAGAGCCTCATGCTCACAACCAAGGCATGGCAGAGCCCCCAGCGCTGCAATGGTTCTAGGGGAGCGGTTCTGATCTACTTCCTCTCCAGAGCTAAGGCTGCCTGATGGGCACCAGCAGCTTCTTCATGCAGGACATGATGTCAGTGGGGAGGGGGAAGCAGGATGGGGAGCTGGGCAGGGTGCTCCCTATCACCAGGGACTGGCCGCTCTGGCCCTGCCCCAAGCACCAAGGAAGCTAACATCTACACTGATGCACATCTATGGACCTTGGCCCAGGGAAACAATCCCCCTGGGCCTTACCCAGCAGACACCCAGGAGTCTGGCAGAGCTAGGACACGGGACTCTCTGTGGACATGGAGAGACAGACTGTCTGCTTTTGCAGACATGAACATACTGTCAGACCCCCATCCTGGGGAGCATGAGTGGCCCAGAACCTAGACTCCATCCACCAGGACACACTGCAGTGCTGAGCAGCAGAGGTCCCAGGTGGCTCCCCGCTCTGCACGCCAGGCTGGCTCAGGTGAGTGACAGTGGTGGAAATGGCCAGCTCCAGAAATAGCTTTATTCATAAACACTGTGAACTAACAAAATAGACAATCTAGGCTGGGGGGAGGCCACATGCGACCCCCTCCAAGTCTGGGCCAGACCAGAGTAGGCTGGGCAGTGCGTGGAGACCCTCAGCACTTGGAGGCTGGATTCATAAAGGCCTTACGCTCCACTTGCACATAGTACTTCTCAGGGAGGCCAGTGGCTCTGGAAACAGAAAAAAAACCTGGTAAGAGACCCAGACCACTGCCATGGAGCAGGACACAGTATGGGGCCACCCACCATTGGATCTCCAGCTACACCAGGGCCCAGAGCCAGCTAGGAGGGGCCCAGCAACACATCTGGCACCTCAGCCCCCAGGCTAACTCAGTGAAACTGGCTCCTTCCTGAAATATTGAAGCTTACCCTTCCAACCTCTCCCCAGGGCCCTGCTGCCTGAAGGCAGCTTTATGATCACAACACAGGCCAGAAGGCAATGGTTGATCCCAGCTTCCAGCTTTTCTCCCACAGGAAGACCCAGCCCCCAGTGAGCATGGGAGTGTGCAGGGCAGAAAGGAGGCTCAGAGCAAGCGGCAGGAAGGGAAGCTCAGGGCAGCACACAGCAAAGTGAACTGCCTCTGGCCCTTCTAACCAGCTCTCACCACGCCTGGACCAGCCTTGTTGCAGCTGCCCGGCCCTCCCCAACCCATGGCCTGGGCCCACTGCCCTACTCCAGCACCACCCAGCAAGTTTCAGAGCCTCAGCCTGCCCCAAGACATGGTGAAGGGGCAGGAAAGGGACAGACAGCATGAGCTGTGCAGAATCAGCAACCCTCAGAGCTTCCACAGTCCAGGCCCTGACCTGAGCTCCTCCATCCTCTGCCTCTTGAGCTCTGCAATGCGTTCACTGCACTGGCGCGCCTCCTCCTTCAGCTGCTGGCCCTCCTCAAAGATGATGGCTCTCTCCTGCACAAGCTTCTGCTGATGCTCATGCACCTGACACCGCAACTCACTCGCATGCATCAGCCGCTGGGCTGCCCTCTCCTCCTGCTGCTTCTGCTCCTTCTCTATCAGCTCCTGCTGCTCTCTGTGGGAGATGACAGGACTGGTGACAGGGTCCAGCCCAGCCCCGTGCATGGGCACTGCCTGTCCTCTCCAGCTGCAGGCTGGCAGGATGATGACCATCCTGCCAGGGGTAGCTTTGCCTCCCCTCCCGCAGACACAAGGTAATGCATCTGCCCAATATGGAGTCTCCACTGTAGCTTGTGCCCCGCAAGCTCAGCCAGAGCTGCAGAGGGCAGGCCTGATGCACCAGATCAGTTGGCAGGGTCCTTGTTGGGGCAGGGACCCAGTTCAGGCCAAGGTCTGAGCACAGTCTGAGTGAGCACCTGGCTTTGGCCCTGTGCTCCCACTGCTGCAGGGCAAAGCAGCCCGAGAGAACAATTTCCTATAGCCCCCAAAGCCTGGATTGTGGAGACAGAACTGCTTCCCCCAGTGCTCCTTGCCCCAATCAGGAGGAAGGACTCAACAGAGATAGGGCAAAGCCTGTGACCAGGCAGCCCCCAACCACAGGCACTGAGAAAGAATACATGGTCTAAGAGGCCTCAGAGCACTGTAGCGCTGAGCAGAGGGAGGCTGTCAGGCCAAAGGCTCCTTGCACCTGCTCACCTCTCCAGACCCCTTCAGTGCTGGATCTGTCCAGGGCTCTCAGGTCCTTATTGCATACATCCCAGCTTGCTGACAGTGACTGTAGGGGACAGGACTTGCCTACCCAGCCAGTCCCTGTCTCTAGACCCTTGACCATTGGGAAAACTCCCAGCCCCAGTCCCAACCACTGGGAAAAGCCCTGTGCCCCAGCCCCCACAGGCACACTCTTCAGTGCCTGTGACCCTGCTGCCTTGTTGGGGCTACACTGCATGCTTTATGCTACCTGAGTATCCTCTCAAACTCGCTGCGGTCCCGCTGCACCTGCACAGCCAGCCTACGCTCCTTCTGAGCAATCTGCTCCAGCAAGCCCTGCTTCAGCATGGCTTCCATCTCTGCCTTCTTCTGTGCGGCCTCCTTCTCCTTTTGGCGCCATTCACGGTCCTTGGCTTCCTGGTTCCGCTTGGCCCTGAGCTCATCCTGCCGGGAGGGAAGCAGCAAGGAGCTAGGCCGAGATGCTGTCCCTACTCCCCACTGGGGAGTTAGCCTAAGACCCTAGGGCTGCCTTTGCCTGGCTTCTCTAGGGCTACATAGAGTTGAATGGGCTTTCCACCACCTCCTGCTCCGTGTGCAGTGCTGGCTTCCATGGCAAAGCAGGAAAAACCCAGCTGAGCTGCAGAGCCTGGGTGGAGCCAGCAGTGTCAGAAGCTGCAGACACCATGTTACATGCGAACTGAGCTGAGCTGGGTCAAGCTACAGGGACACATGAGCTGGGCGAGTGTCATCTTGTGGGGGGGCGGATGCTGCCACACAGCAGTCCTAGAGCTCACAGGACCTGCAGCTGCCAGCCAAGGAGCAAGGCAGGCCTCAGGGCCAGCAACTGGTGGCAGGACTCGACCATCCTTCCTCTCCGCTGCTGACCCTGTGTGGGGCAGGCAGCTAGGTACACAGGGCACCGAGAGCTGGGCAGCACAGCAGGTTCCATTTTCTTGGGAGTGCAGACAGCCCTGGTTCTGCCCTGACTCTCCAGCACGCCCGTCTCCTACCTCCAAGCCCCCCTCCCCACCAGCAGCCAGGCCTGGCTACGCTTTGGAGCTGGCCTCTCAGGAATAGCACAGCGGAGGGCCCTTGCCCTGTCACAGTCCAGGGGTAAGTCTGTCAGGCCTGCAAGAGTGACCTGCCTTAGCTAGTCATTCCTAGCCTGGCCCGCTTTGTTGGGCAGGGTGAGGGGCATCACTACTCAGCAAAGAAGGTGGCCTGGAGACTGTGCCTGCTGTCAGGGCTGTGCACAAGGATGGTCTTCTGGCACATGGATTCTCTGCTTAGAAGGACATCCACAAAAGACCTTGTCAGGACCTTCAATCCTCGGGAGTTTGGGGATTCTCCATTCACACTGGGAGATCCCAGAAGGGCTCACATGAAGCTCCTTGGCTCTTTCTGGGAGAAACGGCAAGGGCAAGATATCCTCACCTGCCTCTCTGTGCAGGGCCAAGCAAGGGAAGGCTGCTTTGCATCGCACTGGCTCAACAAAGCAGCAGGACAGATTTACCAACGGCTCCCTCATCTCCCCACAAGCCTTAGTGAACTACCCTGCCCCTCACAGCAGTGCCAGTGGAGTGAGGAACTTGCACTGATCCTGGCAGGAGAGCTGACAGGCCACAGACACTGCAAGAGAGAAGGCTGCACCTGGGCACCAGAGAAGCTGTTTGCTCTGGGGAGCTGAAGTGGGACTCTCAGCCACTCACCTCTTGTAAAAGAAACACAGCGAGTTTCTTGCCCCCTGCTTGTCCTCTCCATCCTCTCACTGGACCTAAGGGCTCACTGGAGCTCGTTGGCTCAAGCCCAGGGATTGCTGCCTGCCTTGGAGATCTAATGTCCTCACCATGAGGTCAGGCTGTCATATACCCCACCCATGTCCTGTTCACCCCTCGGGTTCCAGCCAGGTCTCAGTCTGCTCTGCCTCCACCTAGGCTCGGGAGGAAGCATCCCCATTATTCCCACTGGGTGCCTTGGTGCAATTCCCTCCTGCTCTGCTGGGTACCCAGCTGCCAGAGAGGCTGGGAGGGAATGAGGGGCAGGTGCTGCCAAGTGTATTACCTTTTCTGCTTGGTGGTCCCAGGCCCTTTCCTGTAAGGCCCTCAGGCGGGCCGTTTCCATCTCCTTCTCCCGACGGGTCTTCTCTTGCTCAGCCTCGAATTCTGCTTCCCGTGCCTAAACACAACACAGCCCAGATCCATGAGCTGTTGGACCACCCTGAGCAACTGACCCCTCCAAAGCACCAGCACACATGGGCAGAGCCATCATTGCATCACACATGTGCATATGCTGTGTTACTCATGCATGCACAGCATTCACACACAGGCCGTGTCATATGCACATGTCCCCAGCAGCCACACATAACCATGTGCAGCATTAACATATGTATGCAGGGTTCACACACTGGCACACAGAGTATTCACACAGTGTTACACATGCATATATGCAGTGCTCTTACGTGCAGTGTTCAGTGTCAAACACACGTGCCCAGCACTCACACGCACTGCTCCTGTGTGCAGTGTTGTGTCACATCCACCTGTACAGCATTCACATGTAGGTTCCTGAGTGCAGTGCTCAGTGTCACATACTTGCCTATACAGCCTTCATATGTGCAATGTGCATGCACATGGTGTTATATGCACATGCCATGTTTGCACGCACCGATCACACTGTGCCGAGCCCCACATGCACACTTACACACCCTTGTCTGACTCCTTGCAGGAGCTGGCAAAAAGAGACCCTCTCCCCCCGACACACCCTGCCTTTGCTCTCCACTGGACAAAGGTCCTGGAGCAGAATCCCTGCTCTATACAGAGGTATGTGCTGCCTACGCACATCAGCACACAGGGCTCTCTTGTGTTCTCCTCTAGGCCCAGAGATACTGAAACCAGAGGTTGTTCCAGCCACTACTCAGGCTCTGCAGGCCCCTGTCCCTGCACCATACCATTTTCTGCTTCTGGTACTCCAGCACCCGCTGATCAGCCAGCCTCTCCTGCTCCAGCTGCTGCTCCTTGCGCTTCTGGTTTTCATCATTGATATGTTTAATCTCAGCCTGGATTTTCTTTTGCTGCTCCTGCCTCTGTTCCAGTTCCTGAGGAAGGTACAAGTGGGTGGGACTGAGACAGAGGCCGGGGGACAACCCAGCATGGATCCTTGTTCTGTTTCTTTTTCCTCGGCAGCTTCCTGACGCACGATGGTGCTATGCCCAGTGTGAACCTGCCAGACCAC